ATTGAAAAAGAATGCATTTAAATTTTATTTATTTTTTTATTATTATTTTTACAAAATTAATAATTTTACAATAAAAAATAAAAATATTTTAAAAAATACACTTATTTATTTTTAAATATATCCTTATTAGTCATTTAATGTTAAACAACAACCGCTAACTATTGTATAACCAAACAGTTATATTTATCGAATTTGTTATTTACTATCCGTTACCCACTTTCGCTATCCGCCATCCGCTATTGGCTAACCGCCACTCGCTACTCGTTACTCACTACCCGTTATCGCTATCCGCTACCGCTATCCGTTATCTGCTATCCGCTATCCGCTATCTATTATCTGCTATCCGCTATCTGTTATCTGCTATCCGTTATCCGCTATCTGTTATCCGCTGAATTTTAACCGCTGTACCAAACAGGCCTTTACTCTCTTCTGTGTTTGTTGGGATTCCCTTAGTGTTCGTCTGGGTATGATTCCAATTTATTTTTCTTTTCTTTCCGCTCTTTGCCTTTCTCAAAGATGGATGAATGATGATTCGATTTCATAACTAATTTTATGTCTTTTTAAGTTAGTTGAATTTTGTTTATTTGCATTTGTTATGTTCGTACCAAACATGATGAAATTGACATAGAGGAACAATTACAAAGAGCCCTCAGCCCTTGCTAATCCATTGAGAGAAGAGGAGAAGGATTTTGGCATGCCTGTGCTTCAACTGGGAGAGGAAGAAGAGAGTGTGCTCTACATGGGTTGAGTTTATGGTAAGAAAAATGGGGAAATTGAGAGAGACAAAATGAAACGCACTGTTTTATTTGGAATGAAATAATAATTTTATTTTGTCACATCTCGTTTTTTCATTTTTTAATTTAATATTCTCTTTATTTTAAAATAATTATTTCTTTTATTATAAATTTGTCTAAAATTAATTTTTATTTTTTCATTTTTTAATTTAATATTTTCTTTATTTTAAAATAACTATTTCTTTTATTATAAGTTTGTCTAAAATTAATTATTTATTTAAAAATTAAATATTTTTTAAATTTTATTTATTTTTAATTCTAAGAATTGTA